CTCATCATTCAAAAATTCAAATTGTAAAGCATTGACTGCTTCTTTCGAGCATTTACATGTACCATTCTTAATCTTACTTTGGAGCAGAAACATCTGCTTTGTTCAAGACTTATTGATAATGAAAAGAAAAAATGCGACTTACAGCCGCTGTAACATAAAAGGGAATGTGACAGATAGCTGAGCAGATCTAGCCAGGTCCCAGTTTGAAGGCAAGGAAACATAAATCTCACTATAGACAGTCTTGATAAAAGCAGGTTTCAGATTTCTCTGGTCAGCTGTTAGCGTATTCGTAATCTTCTCAAACTTTCAAACAGAATCTAGTGTTTTGATGAAAGTGGTTGTAAAAATTTCAAAAAGGACAAGACTTTTATTAAGGTTTCGTACTTGTTTGTATTTCCATCCATTTACTTCATGCAAAGAGATTGCAAATAATTTTTGAAATCCAAGTAATTGTCGTTTTCTTCTGCGATTTCCTAGGAACAACTAACAATTCTTCGAATTAGCGCCGGTGTTGACTGCAAACTAAAATCGCATCCGAAGAGTATCTCTGAAATTCAAAGTGGTGTTATCTTTGTGATGCAGGGCATAGTTAGAACTTCAGAACAAGAATTTTGCCAGCATCGCTGTTAGAAAGATTTAGCTGTGCGTCCAAGGCAGACATCTTCCAAAAGCGGAGTAGTTTTTAGGACTTAGGGTTCAAATACTATCAAAACTGGAAACAAAGTGTAAGCAGTAAAAGTGTCTGCTGAGACACGTGGCATATCTCATTTTTGAAAAAATTCTTTTAGTTTAGGGAGCACAAAAAAGTCTGTACTACAAAAATTATTGCGACATGTCAGTACCAAGTTTTTTCCACATTTACTTCTGGTGCTACTACTTGATTCCTGGTTGAACAAACTTACGGCTGCCTAAACAGCATTACGTACAATGCGAAAAAGATTTCGTGTTGATTAGCAGTCCAATGTTGTTTACCATGTAGAGGGAAATGAGTCAAACTGCAAAATAAAACTCCGCTGGAGATTGAGCAAAAACTAATATTAACGGAATAGTTATAAATAGGTAGGAAGAATGAAATGATTAGGGTGGACACTTGACTTAAGCTACTGGAAATTTTGAATAATAGTCTTAAGGAAAGAATTTGACATGTATGTACCGTGTTAGTAACTAAGATCCTGATTCTGCAATAAAGTTTCTTGTCAATTTGCTTAAATTAATTCAATTTTTTCGCTCTATTGTAAAAAGAGGAGCTGCTTGCATTCTTTACACAAATTGGTTTTCTATTCTAGAGAACAATTAATGTTTAAGCAAATTTCAAACTGAGTGGTGTGCAAGCAGAATGTGTGAAGTGCTAGCAGATCAGCTCGCATTGGTGAAAGGTCGTTACAGTCGGCCTATTGAACGCTTGCTATCTTGTGTTGATATGTTTGAACATCTGTACCAAGCCTTGGCAAAACTAATTGAAACAGCAATCGCCATGAACTTCGACCGATCGGATTATAAGAGAGAGCAATGGATGTGCTTGGGATTCATTACGTTTCTCATGCTTTATTACACTGCCCTACTTACCATTTCGTTTTATGCGGGAGTTCGAACGGAAACGTGCGTTAAGCCTGCAGGCGAAGGACGTGAGTTCGTTTGCTACATTCAAAAATGATTTACAAAGAAAAACTTGATCCAACAAACTTGGATATTTAACTAAATTCACCTGCAAAAGGGAAATTTACTTCAGTAGCAAATAGGGATACTGAAATCACAGAGAAAAGCTTCTTGCAGGTATTGTCTTCAAAAGGCGCAGAGCAGGCCAGTTACCTCACCAAACCTTGCTCTCATAGATGACTGTTTATCCATGCATTTACATAGATAAAACGCTCTTTTCTAAGTGAAGTTCCTTTTATTCTGAAGTTTCAAAAAAGAAATCCTAATCACGATACTTTAATACCCTTGTATACATCGTGGAACTGTTTGGACCAGACGTCC